TTTAAAAATCACTCAGAGAGAAAAAAGAAATATTTGAAAAATATATGCAGCTGTTGGTTTTTACTGCAATTCATTATGACAACTATGCTGTTATTTCCCTAGTTGTATGGAGACAATTCCAGTACGCTTTATTGATGTGATTCCTCATATACAATTGGAGGACTTTTGTATGTAAGCATCTTTTTCAGATGTTTCCCTGTTCCTTGAAGTAAGAGGTGGGCAAACTTTTCCTGTAAAGGACCAGATAATAAATATTTTAAGCTTCAAGAGTCACAGTTGAAGATACACGGAAGTACTTATATAACAAATTTCCACAGTTTTTACATTGGTAGAATTAAACATGTAATAAAATTATAATTGAGTCCTTTTGTTTTTTTGCAATACATATCTACGAATGAGAAGGGCGAACTTCTTGCTGCTGGGATAATATTTTGCTTAGTGGGGTTTCAATGTTAGTGTCCACTAACATCAAGTCATTGCAAACATTCATCATGAAACCATTCCTAGCTCCTGGGCAGCAGGCTAGATGTGGTTCAAAGTGTGGTTTGCTAATCCCTGCTCTGGATCAGTATTCCCAACTTCAATGTGCATCAGCGTCACCTTCGGGGCTTGTTAAAACAAACTGCTGAGTCCCTACCCCCACGTTTTCGGTAGGGTATTTCTAACCAGTTCCCACTTAATGCTGAGGCTTCTAGTCTGAGACAACACTTGTAGAACACTGCTCTTGATGTTGGTCCTTCTAAAAAGTCACATTGAGTACAAATATATCTATTTTATGTTTTCATTTACCTTTTGCAACTCTGAGGTACAGGGGTAATACATCCAACGTTAAATTTCCATTAAAAAGTAAAGAAGAGCTATTTAGCTAGATCGGGTTTGATAATAAAAGGAACTTTTGTCTCTTAAAAAGCTATTAAGTCTCTTGCTTACAAAGTCAGGCATCAGCAATCAGCATCTATTTGTCTGCTACAAAGAATGCCTGAATTGCACTTTTTCAGTCTGATCAAAGTTTTAAAACAGTATGCAATATTCTGAAGGATATATGTGGGTGAAACATAAGAAAAACAGTTTTGCTTTAGGTTCAACATGTACTAACTCACCAAGAATATAAACAACATACCGTTCTCTGGATAGGACTTGTTGGCATGTTCAATCCATAGAATGTACCACAAAGACTTTCCTGAGAGTACCAAGGGGCAAGGGAAATACCAGTTTCCTAAATCTGGGAGCTGCCCATGGCCCACCAAACCAAATCACCTCTAAGTGGACTGTCAAGCTGCAATGGGCTCTCATGAAGAGCTCTGAATGGTTTGAACTGTTACCTATACTGAGATTGTGGAGAAGCTCATTGCTGCCAGGGCACTGGCTAATTGAAACGATCACATCTCACCAACAAAATTCTTTCTGAAAAGAAGCAAAGTGGAAAGTATGGTCTCCTTCTGTTTATTTGTCCCAATGGTTTAAAAAATCAGCTTTATGGATCCATAATCTTCCTCATGACAGATGGACTTATACATTAGCATCGTGCTTTCAATCAACAGTTTACATTTCAAGAGGAAGGTGAAGAAACTGAATGTAAAGACATCTTCTGCATCTATTTGTCATTTCCAGTTTTATAACATTGATACAAAAAATAGTATTCTGATTAGCAGCTTGATTGGCAACCCATGTAACCCTAAACAGTACTACAAACCTGGAGAGTGCACTTTTACAGACAATTACATTTGGCGAAATAGTATGTACAGTTTTGACAAATAAATACATAAATACAATCATTCATATATAACGATATACCTAAATGTCAATTATCATCAACAAATGTTTCTAGTAAATTACTTCTTTCATTCACAAGTTACTTTTGTTGCTTATAAAAACTATCTTCACCTTTACAGAAGAAATGACATAATCAATTCCCCCACTAAACCCACATATTAGGAAAGGTAGAAAATGAATCCCAGATGCTTTATGTAAATATTTCATTGTCTTTTGATAGAAGAGATTTGATTGAAAAACTCCTTTCTTAGCTTCTCTGTTAAGAGTTTATTTTCACCATATCATATCACACAAAGGGGTTTTGTTCGTATGAATTCAATTCAAATAAAAAAATGATCTTCATTTTTTGATTCTCATTATTTAAAAATACAAATTGAAACTGGCATTTCAGCCAATATAAAAGGACATAAAGCCACAGAAGCTAGCCAAAAATGATTATACATTTTTTCCCAAAATAATTGAAGAAAGAAAATGTACAGACACTAATTATTAATACCTTTTGTTATCCAATGCAAAATGAACAAAATGTAGGGGACAGTCAGAAGGTTTTTGTAAAAACTGTCTGAATGACTCCTAGTACAATACTATCTGAAATACTATTTTATACCAGAGAAGTAATATTAATTTTTTAAAAAATAGCATCACAAATAATCAAAACCATAATTTGGCCAGTGTCATAAAATTAACAATAGTAGAAAATTAGAGCTTTTTCTGATCACGTGACTTAAACATTTTTTTTTTGAACATTCAAAAAACAAAGGGCAAACATGCTTTAGGCTACTTTGTAACTAGACAAATGGCCTTGCTTCACCAAGCTCCATGCAGAAGAAAATGTACCCAGCAAGCACATCCTAGCTATGTGGAAAGTTGGGGGGAAGAAAAAAATACCTTTAAAATATATACATATGGACTTGGATGAATATTTACATGTTTGTCACATGGGCACTACCTAGCATAAAAAAAGTTAGGAAATAATTCTTTAAGACGTGATTCTCTGATTTTTTGCTCCTTTTAAAGATTAGGGCTCTCTATTTATAATGTATACACATACACACACCCCAAAATTCACAGATGTACATGTATGATATTTATAATACATAATTCCTTGACACCAATGGTGACTTGACTGAGCATCAGGTAAATGCAAGGCGGTAGCATGAGACAGAGGCTTGACTCAGCCACACGACTGAAAGGTGAACCAAGTACAAAGTCATGAGACTTCTGCCGTGATCAAAAGTCACAGCAGTTAAAGGTTGGGCCAGAGGGTGGCTCACCTGGGCTAATCCATCTCTCCCCAGGCTACCCAATGCTGCCTCTAATCAAACTCAGCAGTACTGCTGACAGTAAGATGAAGATGTATTAAAGGACTGAGAGGCCTGTCTAATATTGGGCTCTTTTGCGTTGGCAATAAAAGACCCAATGTCTTCAGGAAATAGGCCAGAGCTTCCATTTACTCATTTTTTTCCTACCAGTTGGCTATCGGCTTCTAGGGGGGCTTCCAGAGGTTAGATTAAAACAAAAGGTCTGCTCTTTCAGTTGTGGGCCTTTGTTTTTGTTTGAATGAAAATGAACAGTTTTCTAATGAGTGGTAGAAAATATGGAATGTGTGGGTTTGCTGAGAGCCTATTCTTCTGATAGAAATGGACTAGGTCTACCCATCCTCCAAGCTGTTGCTGAGAATTCAAATCAAGTGTTTCCTAAGATCTAAGTGGATGTGATACATTTAGCGAAGCGGTGCTTCAATTGCTCTAGGATGCCCCTGCCCAGAGGCTCCTCCTCAAACAAAGCCAGCTGCCTTCACTCAGCACCCTGGCTTATCAAGGCAATGGGCTGAAATAATAACTTATTCGCTGAAACTATAAGAAAAGACAGAGAAATTGAAGCTTCCCTGCACCCCTAACATTTCCAAGGAAAAGTCTTAGAAGAACCAGGTTCACTAATAGTTCATATTTGATCTATATTTTGGCAGATTTTGTCCTAAAATGTTCCTACTACTTCTGACCATCATTGTAATTATGTAACTATTTTAGCATTTAGCATAATGCACAATACATTGCATTAAAGTAGCACCTTTTAAACCAAGGATCTCAAAAAACTTAGCAAATGCGATTTGCTCTCACAGCACCTGTGAGGTAGGTGTTTTTTCCAGCCATTTTATAAATGAGCACATTTGAAGCACAGTATGGTAAAGATGTCTGCTCACATGACCTAACAAGTAGGATGGCATCAGTAAAACCTGAAGCCAAGCTTCCCCCCTTCTTTCTCATGAACCTCAATTCTGGAGCCTCAGAACACCTCCTACCAGCATTGCTGCTAGAGGTACCCGAATGTTTTGGATATTAGAGAGTATTACATCTATCAGCTGCAGGGATGAATCATTCAATGTTCTTGGTATCTGTTAAAAGATTTTTCTTATGTACTTTGCAAATATGTGGGAGGGGCATCTTACACTATTGCTAAGCTGATGTTAATTACAATGCATATACAAATTTGTATTTTCTCCATGTGATTTATTGTTCTTCTGGCCTCCCGCCAACTTATTTCTACACATGTGCCTGCCTGAGACAGAAACTTTAAAATGCACTTAGCGATATGGTACAGAGGGTAGCGGGTAAGATTACATTTGGCAAAGTCTACTTGGAGGCACCAGGTAATGTTTGTTGAATGAGCAAGCAAAATTGTCTTCCAAACTTACAAAGTATTTGATTCTCAAGTTTAAATTTCCACTTATTTCACTGCAGCCTCCCTGTCAGTACTGAGTTCATTCTTGTTGGAACCACAAATACTGCACATGCTACATGGCAATACATGTAAAAACTTGACATAATAGCACACCAATATTAATAGTCACATCCAATGTGTCCTCCTGACTGTGCATTATTTCTGATTTTTTTTTAAAAAGAATTACTTATTTACTTCTGCAGAGATGCTATGAAGACATTACTGTGAGCTTCGTTTCACAGAACCAGATTTTTATCTCAGATGCACAGCATGTAAGTCCTAGCAGTTGTTAGCAAGTTGCTTTTTGAGATAAATGCAAGGCCTTAGGACCTAAGAATAAAACCTGGCCCTTCTAACTTACGCATTGTTTCTATGATCAGAGCCTAACATTTGTAAATTGGTAATCCAGGAAAGGAACTAGGAGTGGGAAGAAAAAGCTTTTTACAAAACCCCTTCACCAGTTCATTTCTGGTGACACCTGTAAAATACCAACACCTTAAGCCCCATTTCTTAAAAAAAGGAAAGAAATGTATTTACATTGGTAAAAATCCTAACATCTGAGATGTTTCTTGCTCGACATGTCATTCCAGATTCTGTGCATTTCTTCTGGAGAGATCTGATGCACAGTGATAACTCGGCGATACCTACACAAACTATAGGCCATTTTCCAGTGATTAAAGCCACTGTTCTGAAAAGGATGTATGCCCAGCTTTCGGAGACACAGTCCTACATATACATCTTCAAGGTGCAGCAGCCTTGTGTGGAGTGAGGTCTTGTAAATGAGTTCCGCTACATCGGCTGAGAAGATATAGCCGGTCCCCGAACAGAATGGTGGGTAGTTACTGTCAGGGTACAAATCCCTGGGCATATACCACTTACTGCGGACGTCCCGGATTGGCCCTCCATTGATGACATAGCCAGTAAAATACCTTCTTCTTGGCTTGGTGGAGGGTTTTAATAGTTTATAAATAAGGTTGTCCATGTTTACAAAAATGTCACTATCTGTTTTCATGACATACTTGGCTTTTGAACAAAAAGTGGCCACCCATCTCATGCCCATTAATGTTTTGAGGGTGAGGTTGTGATAGGAGTCAATAAAGTCCTCCACGATAATGTCGTGGAAGATTTGACTCTCTTGCTCCACCATCTGATTCAGAACAGGGTCAGCGTTCTTGCCCAGGAGGAACAGAGTAGCTATTTTGATCCCTTTAAAGTTGTTCTCATCCCCCCACGTCTCTCGGATTGCCTGGCGGGCATCAAATTCTTTGTGGGTGGTGCTGATAAGAATAACAAGGAAAGGAATGTTTTTCTCACATTTGTTGGGCTCATTTATAAGAAATTCAAAAGAATGTGGGTTTATAGGTCGAGTTCTTATGTTGCCAAACGTGAAGTTTTTCCTGGCAACTGTTAGGTGGCTGAAGGGCTTGGAGCCAGTGTAGGAAGAAGTAGGACGAGTTACGCTCAAGTACCAGAGAGCGCTGGCCCAGCACACGACTGTCAAAACATATAAACAGGACACTTTTGAAGCCATGGTCTTGAGAGCACGTCTATTCCAAACACCGAAGAATATGCCTTCTTGGCATTAGTTTCTTTTCATCTCTCAAAGGTAGCATATTACTACTTAATCTTGAAGTTCGACAGAGACGTATGAGTGTAGGATTGTCCATGGGTCTTAGAGGCAGTCTGGTATCTCTGCATTCATCCTACTTTCTTCCAAACCTGATGGAAACTTCCATGCTTCATAGATCTTCCTCTTAACTCTGTAAAATCAATAAAGTCAAGTCATTCATATTTATGTAGTCATTCATATTCTCAAATAAACATAATAAGGGTGTAAGAATTGCTCACGATGATGAAAATAAACATAATTATTCCTTTCCATCAGTACTGAAAACTTCCTGACACAACCATCCTCCCTTTTCTTCCCTTGACAGAACAGGTTTATGGATAATCATACCCAATAACAAGGACATAGATTATAAGCTCTAGATAAATAGGAAGTCAAGTGAACATTAGTAACTAAAACTAGTCCCCCCGCCCCTTCTTTGCAAGCGGCCTTCTTTGTGGTTAAACACTTTCTGACACTAACATTTTCTTTAAGCAGAAAAGGCTCACGCATGGCCTCATATCTCTTTTCTGTTTTTCAACTCTGAGTTTTTGTTTGCTTGACTCCGATGAAGTAATCAGTTCTCAACATCTTTTTTCTCTGTCTAGCCCAGTATTTGAAAATGTGTCCATCACCGCTGGAAAATCTCTGCTAAAATTGTCTCCTTTAATTCAGACTTAGAAGCAATTCCCAACTTTTCCTCACTTTTTCCTTACTTTCGCTCTCTGAAGTGTCACATGGAGACTATCTTTACTCCTCATACATGAAGACCATCACACAAGCATCTTTTCAGACAGCTGGCAGCATTCATTTTGGAATTGGTCTAAATCGTGTCACTTTTTGTAGTTTTCAGCAATTCACACTTATGCTCCCTTGATGAAATTATACTGACCTTGCTAATTCTTTTTACTTAGTTACACTTCTCTAAACACATCAGGAATACACAAGAGAGACAACTGAGCTTGGGGCCCACAAATTCAATGAAGTTGTGACCCAGCACTTTAATTGATGTTCAAATAAAAAAGTTGTCCTTTGGAACTCAAATTCTTTCTAGAAATTTAGCTGCTATCATGCCAGTTAAAAATATGTGCCAAGTTACAAAGTCCATTCATGTAAAAAATTGTCTCTTCCTTCCTGGCTAGAACAAAATGGTTAGTCCTGGAAGACAGAGATAGCAGATAATGAATATCGATTTCAACAAAGTCTGCTTCAAAGAAAACTGTGCGCTTAAATGTACAGACTGTGTTGAAAAATTTAACTGGGATTACAGGCTGAAAATCATGCTTCCAAGCACAATAGTCATAATGAAGTGAAAAGACATGATGGGCAACAGCAGAGATAATACACATCCTCTTGCCTAAGCCAAGAGCTAACTGTGAGTATACGAGCCTTGTGAGGCCAGCAATAGCTCAGTGCGGTTACAATTCTCACTAAATGAATATCAGAATGGCCTCAAGCAGCAGGACTCGGCATTGTCAGGGCTTCTCACCTTGGGATTTACAGACATCACTTCCATTTGAATTCTGAAGGGACGTGAGTCTCTAGAAGACACTGGAAACCAAACTTTCTCCACCATTATTCTACTCCCATTAGCTGATTCCTATTGGCCTGTCTTTATCGTCAGATAGCCCTCTTGCCTTTCATACTTTCCCATTAAATTGTGAGCCACCTATTACTAAGCTGTGAAGAGACCCAAAGAGCCCCACGTGGAAGAGGCTCTTATCAAATTCGCTACCAGAACCACTAACCAGGCTCTTAATGGGGGAATTAATGGTGTGTGAGAAGTATTGGAAAAACAGAAATAGAACGCATACTCCTCACCAAGGAATTCATACTCTTGAGGGAAGACTTCAAATAAATGGTTAAATCAGTGGGATAAAAATGTCCCTCACAAGGCTATTGGAGTACTCAGGAGAGGTGGGCTGGTGGGCAGGCTGTAAGGGAACTAGGGACAGTCCCGCAGGCCACACACAGTCCCGCTCCAGAGGGCGCCATTCTCACCGACTGCAACGGGACCCCACTCCTCCATGCCATCCGGAATCAGAGGGCGGGTTAGCCCCGCGGTGGGGGGATGCCTCGGAACATTCAGAAAAGTCATCTGAATGGAATCTTCACGGACTTATCTAGATGAGAGTTGGGCACCCCAGGTAACGGGAACAGAATATTGGAAGGCGTAAAATGAGAGAGCAGGCGTGTGCCGGGACTGCCGGCAGTGGAGCCAAGGAAGGGGACAGTGACGTGGAGGAGGGTGGGGATGGTGAGGTGGGGGCCGTGGAGATGAGCAGGGGCCCGGGGTTGAGTGGCGCTCAGAGACTGCCCTGAGCTGAGTAGCTGGTTACCCATCTTTGCGATCTACAGGGCGGAAGGATGGGTTTTCCCCTCCTCAAATCCTACCCACTGATTTCAAGAGCAATTCATTCTTCCATATGAGAGATGTCTTTCCGCCATAGTTCCATGTCTCAGAAGGGTAGGTGATGACTGGTTTTATCCCATACCTTTCTGTGTGATTTTCTGGGGGGAGGGACTCCATAAACACAGGTACCAAGAGATTTAGAAAGAGCTAAAAGAGGGAGAAATAGAAGAGAAATAAGTGAGATCACAAACAAGTTAATGTACTTCTAAAGACTTTTTATTGATGGATAAGCATTTTCCCCTGGAAGGCTAACAAACACACTTCCTACTGTGGTTATGGTAGGCCTCATTTTAAAATGCGGACATGCGCCAGGCGCTGTGCTGTGTTCTATGCCATATATTTTATAGAGCTTCATTCCCTACAGCGTTATGAGAGGTTTCTCCATTTTACAGATGACAAAATTGAAACTCAGAGATATGACGTAGCTTGCTCGCGATCACATGGTGAGTGGGTGAGTGAGTGGCTAGTGGTTATTTCAAGCCTCCCAGGCAAAATCTTAGATGGGGAACCCCGGGTGGCAGGGAGCATCTCAGGCTGTTAGTCTCCCAGGGGTCCATATGTTCATTTTCTTACATATGGTCACTGCTTGGATTTTGTTTCTAGTTCATTTTGGTTTGCTACATACCGCACGACAGCAATTCTGTTGGGATTCTTAATTATGAAAAATAATGACTGGCAAAGAACACTTTAAAGCTTAGAGATGCCGGGGTGGAGAGAGAGCTGCAACTGCAGAAGAGGTTCAGAAACACTCTGCAGTTCCCTATCTCTGAGCTCCTGAAACACGCACACACACACACACACCACACATACACACACACACACTGAATAAATCACTCTCTATTGATGATTTTTTTCCAAACATGAGAACAAAAGCAGGCACAGTATTGTATCTTGGCCACTAGTAAATGCGAGTCATCATCTACACAAACAGAGGATTTGAAATGGGACACAGAGCCAGCCTAGAAGCTGACGAGTGGTCAGTGGTAATGATAAAAGGGTGCTGCTAAAAATGTCCTCTGTGCTTACAACAAAACAGATTTTTCCTGACCAAACAGGTAGAAATATAAGCCTCTTGACCAGAACTAGTAATATAAGTAATGAGACAAGAGAGTAGTATGGGGTATTTAACTCTAAAGAGTAATTTCATATATGCTGGATGAAGTAGCCGGTGATGGGCTGGATGTTTGGGTTTTACTCCTTGAGAAATCCGAACTTGCTCTCTGGTTTTCTGTGCCTCAGTAGCTTTCAGCATAAAATAGGGGCAAAAATAGTGCCTGCTTAATCTCCAAATACGTTAGAGGTATTGATGACCGTTGCCAATCATTTGGGTTTCAGGGGACAGGCAGATGGCATTATGGTACAAAAAGCAGGATCCAACAGGGATAAAGGATTACATCAGCTCGTCAGGTCATGGTTTGGGATCCAGAGCACATGTATCAATCGATTCATCTAAATACATTGGGTTGGTATCAGTTTTTTGGTTTGTTTGCCTAAGGTTAATGACTATACTCTATAGATTTTCCTGTGAGAGAATTCTATTTTCTTCCTGGAAGATGAAAAGCTGAAGAAGGTCCACTGAAAAGCAAAAGTCAATTGAAAAAGTTCTGGGGAAGGAGCTGAGTATCACAAAGCACAATCCTCTGGAGGGTTTTTTTTCAGTATTCCAGGATTTAAAATCTTGTTTAACCGATGTGTGAATGTATCAGTAAAATAGCAAGTTGCACACACAACATTTGTCATTCCTTTTAGCAGCCCTTCCACAATCACAGACATTGAAGACACATTAACTTGTCATCCATTAAATACAAATCCCTCTAAATAGAAACATTTACCAGAACACTTGAAAGATTTTTCCCTCAGGGGCCTCACTGTGTCTCAGATTGCCGCATTCGCAGACCTCTCCAGTAACTGTCCACCTGCAGCTTTCAGGAAGTTAATGGGGCAGAATTTTCAATTTAAAAAGCACATGTTTCTCCTAGAAAATGCATGGTAGATATTTGCTATTTTGAGTAATTTATTTTTTAAAAAGTCCCTAAGTTTGCTAAAGTTCTGTTGTATGGCCAGAGGTAAGTCCTCGAAGCACGTGGGCAGTGTCTGTCCCGTAGGTGGCCTGTGCTTAGTTTGGGGTGCCAAGTTCTTGCCTTCCCCAGTTGGGTTCAGTTAGGCATAAACCACACCGATTTCCTATGCCTCGGTTACCACTTAGTTGGCTTGGCAAATGTTCTATGTTCCCTATGCTCACTGGCAAGGCTACAGGGCCCCATCAAATGGCCTGCTTACTCTCTCTGGCGCCTCAGAAAACAGCATCTCCAAGTTCAGGTTTTCCTTGGATTTTCAAATCTAACTTCATGTGTTCATCAAAAATGTACTGAACACCTCGTAGGTGCCAGGCATTGGTCTCCTAGTGGTAGGGCAGATGGGGCGCTTACCTTCTAGGAGAGGGAGGCGGAAAATAAAACACATGATAAATAAACACAAAAATAATTTCAAGGAGCAATAAGTGCTGTGATTAAAAAAAAAAAGTGGAAGTAATGGGATAGAGACCAAACAGAAGTGGGAGGGGAGAGGGAGGGTACTTTATAAAAATTGGTCACTCTCTGAGGAGGTGACATTTAAGCTGAGAACAGGATGCCTTGCAAACTCTGCTTCTGTCTTTGAGTCTTTAAGTTTTTGTTTATTTAGTTGGTTCTTTGGAATTAATGTTTTTTTTTTAAAGATTTGAGTTTATTTACTTGTTTATTTACTTTTAGAGAGAAGGGAAGGGAGGGAGAAAGAGAGGGAGAGAAACATCCATGTGCAAGAGAAACATCTATCAGTTGCCTCTTGCACGCCCCCAACCGGGGACCTGGCCTGCAACCCAGGCATATATGTATGCTCTGACTGGGAATTGAACCGTGTCAGGATCAATTGGTTTGCAGGATCACACCCAACCCACTGAACCACTCTAGTCAGGGCTGTAATTAATGTCTAATAGGAACATCTTTTTTGGTTTTGACCTCTGCCCCTCCCTGGTCTTCTGCGTCTTTTTGGCTTCCTGTTTTCCAGCTGTGGCCATTCCACCCACAGCCTCTGCAAATGCCCTCAGCCTCTGGAGATGGGAGTTATGCACTGTGTTAGTTTTCTAGGTCTGCTGTAACGAAGTACCACAAAATGGGTAGCTTGAACAACACAGATGTATTGTGCAACGGTTCAGAAGGCTGGAAGTCAAAGACGATGTTGGCAAGGCTGGTTTCTTTTGAGTGCTGTGAGGATGGATCCCTTTCATGTTTCTCCCCTGGCATCTGGTGGTTTTCTGGTAATCTTTGGCGCTTCTGGCTTAGAGATGCATTGCCCAGATCTCTGGCTTCAACTTTACTTGGCTTCATTCCCTCTGTGTGTCTGTGTCCAAATTTCCCCATTTAATAAGGATGCCAGTCTTATTTGATTAGGGCCTATCCTAATGACCTCATTTTAACTAGATTATCTCTAGAAGGATCCTGTTTCCAAGGAAAGTCATGTTCTGGATTACTACCAGTTTGGATTTCAATACATCTTTTTGAAGGACACAATTCCATCCAAAACATCTACTTTTGGGGGTAGCAACAAAGTGAAATATTTTGCTCTATAAAACATCACATTTTATTTTCTTGATTTGAGCAGGTAAATTGGGTTTTGGTAAACCAACTTTTAAAGGGTGAAAAGTTTGTAATTAGCATTCAAAGAAGCATGAAACATGAGTGTGAAAAGGGACACCAATTTTGATTTACTGTTAGATTTTTTAAAAGCTAATTCAGGTTATATTTTTAAGACCACGTGAAGACTATGGCATAGTTTTAAGCATTCCCTTGCTCCTGTCACTTTCTCTTTCCTCTTAAAAACACTAATTAGTTTAGAAAGATAAGCCGGGATGAGGCACATTTTCCAAAAGGAAGGGCCCAACAGTCCCTGAGCTACCAACTAGTGTTATGGGGTGCGAACAATGCTGCTGTCACCTGCGCAGGTGTAAAACACCGCCAGCGTTCCTATTATTCAGGGCCAGTTTTGACTATTCAGAGACTGCATGGCATTACGAAAGTGGTTTTAACATTAAAATTCACACAGTACCTTGAAAAACGTGGTGCAGAAAGATAAGACAGTTGGGAAAAAACAACTTTAACCAGTTGAAAGAGAGAAAAGAAAGGAAAACAGAAACTGAGAGAGAGAGAGAAAGAAGAGCCTATTATTAGTCCTTATGAAATGGACGAGAAGCTGGCTATATAGTAGTACATCATGATGGTAAGCAGGGTGAAAGATTTTTTTCTGAAAAAATGTTTTGATGTCAAATGACTTTCCTCAGTGCTGGTGTATGAGTGAAGTAATAATAATAATAATAATAATAATAATAATAATAATAAAACAACCTTCATTCTATTGGGAAATACAGGAACTCAGACAGCAATAAAACTAATTGATAAAGGAGCCCCAAAGGCCAGAAATTCTACTTGGCTGCATTAATTTGGTGAATGATTATCTTGATGTCCAACTCCCTCCCTTCCTCTTGCTCTTGTAATTATGCTCTAAATAAGCACAAGAGAGGAAGAAATAAAGGACTATTAGCCCTAGATAATGGTCCTTGAAGGAAGAATTTCATAAACCATTATGTTATACAGCTTGCTAAATTATTATCTCCCCAAATCACAAGAGGGCTGGCTTCCTCTCCTAGCCTTTCTTTGAAGTAAGACTCCTTGGCTGTGGAAGGCATCATACTCCTAGAAGACCAAATCCCTGAGTGCTCATAGCAGTGTTCTGACTCCTCTGCCTCAGAAAGACAAAGAGCTAATTTGTTCCTTTTAAAATTTTAATTATGAATCCTTTCAAAGAGCCCCCATAATTGAACTCGCCCAACAGATCATTTGCTACAAGGAGCTGGCAGAAAGCACAAGGTGGTATTCATCATGACTTGACAGCTGAAATCACTTCTCTCCTAAATCTGGAGGAAATTATTTGAACCTTTCTCCTTTTAGTTTGATATACCTTGAAGTTTATTGGAAGGGTCTCTATAAATCCCTGCATTCAGAAGAACAGGGTCAGCTCAACAGGGGAGGGGTCTGGGTGAGGGTGGGTCTTGCTATTCTGATTCAATGCAGAGAAAGTGCACTTCAAATTAGAAGGGATGATTATAGCTTTCT